ATGATTCACTTTTGAGGGTAAAATTGTGCCAGTGTTTGACGGCAAAGTGAATGAAATTTTATAGAATCTAATGGTGATTTAGGGGTTAATTTATCAAAAAATAGTTTATGGAGTCAATTTCAATTATGGTAATAGTTCAGGGAGTAAAATGGCAGTTTACCCTGATAGAATTTCGAGAGTTTATGTAAATCTCTCTCTTCTTACTGGTGATCAGGCAAAGGTTTTCATGGAACTAGTCACATTTCCGAATTATCGCTTTTGCTAGCTTTTGGTTTAGTTTGATTTTTCTATAGTTTGCATTTTTTTCTTACCTCGGTTCGTTTTTAGCTCTTTTCTTAGGGTTTTTGGTTATTTTCCCTCCTATCTAGGTATTTCTGTTTGCTTCTTTAATAAGTTTCCCTCATGCTGTCGAAGTTCAAACAAAAAAAAAAAAATTTTGAGGCTAATTTTGACATGAACTTTTTAATATATAGAACTCTTCCGACTGCAATTGCACATATAATAACATAACAGGTGTGGTAGGAGCAGGAGTATCATCCCTTGCATGGAGTGTGGCTCAGCTAGGGTGGATTGGAGGTCCATTGCTTATGATTGTATTTGCTTCAGTCACCATTCTTTCCACCAACCTCCTCTCCGACTGCTACCGGTACCCCGAATCCAATAGCCCGATGAGGGTCGGATCCTACTTAGAAGCTGTTAAGGTCTACCTAGGCCAGCATTTCTAACCCAGTAACAATATAATACACTCTCTAACTTTTATTTTTATGATCTTTGTAGCATCCCGTTGTCAATTTTGATTAAAATATGCTAGACCTTGTGAGATGTAGATGTAGGGTATGTGACATGCATTCATGGGGTACTGATCTTTTTACTCTCGTTCTGTCTCCTTGGACTTTTTTGCGTGTTTACTTTGGTTCTTCCTTTTGTTTCCTCAAATTTCAATTACCAAAATATAGAAATACATGGGAGGAGCACATATGGACATACTGAGTGTGTAAAAGTCGTAATTTTCTAAATGCGTGCAAACTTTGTTGAAAAAGTTGAGCTAGTAATACCTGAATGACTAAATGTTAGGCTCAGTCGTCCACGCATGAGTAGATGACTGTGAACAACATCTCAGAGTCTCCCAATTTCACATTAGTGACTTAATTTGGCATGATTTATGGGTAGACTTTATACATAGTTGTAATTTTAACTTGTGTATGATTGAATTTTAGGAGAGAAGAGTCAGACAGTGTGTGCAATATTTGCACAGGAGAGCCTGTATGGCACCGGAATTGCCTACGTTATTACAGCTGCTGGCAGCGTCAAGTAAGTCCTTGTCAAACCTTAATCTGCTTATTGCTTCTTTGTTCTTTGTTTCATGTTGCACTTGTCATTGCAAATCCAACGTGATTTGATGGGATGATTGTTTGCATGCTTAGTTTAAGTCCTGAGTTTGGGAAAATCCTAGCGTCTTCTTGTCGGATCACATGACTTTGTAGTCACACACAAAAAAAATTTCTTTGTATTTCCTTTTCTCTCGCTCATATCCATGGTTGAAAAGACCTCATTCTACAGTCAGCAAAAATTCTCTCCTAAGTTTGTGTGAAAATCAAAGGAGATGGTTTTCACATACTCTTTTAGCTTCTTAGACATTGCTCTTTATTTCTAGCCGTCATACATGATTAAATATGAGTACGAGAGTCTAAAAAATGTGTGTGTCATTTAAACTAGTCTCTTGGATTTATGATCCCAATCTATATATAAAGCCAATACAAAAGGTGAATAGTACTTTTGGTGTCACCATGCTTCAACAAAAATGCTCCCAATACAAAAAACTTCAAAGGCATCCCAAAATAATGCAACAAATAAGACAGGGGCATTTTTGTCATTTTAATAGTGTTTTTTTAATAATTAATTTTTTTATGCTTTTTTTTTTTTTTTAAATTAGTACCTTCATAACATCTTAAGAGGCGTGTAATGCCGGTTATAAAAAAGATCTTTCACACGCGGATAATAATGTGAATAAATTAGTTATCAAATGATTTTTTTTTAACAAACAATATTATCTATACTAAGAGAGAGGGGGTTGGGTTTAGCCTCACAATGAGCTAGCAATAATGTAATTAAATCAGTTGTTTATTAAATATTATTTTCTCTATTTTTAAACACGTTAAAAACATCTTAAGAGACGTGTAATGTTGGTTATGAAAAATGTCTTTCCCATGCAAATAATAATGTGATTAAATTCGTTGTCAAATGATTGTTTAAAAAAAAAAAACGATATTATCTACACTAAGGAGGAGGGGATGGGCATAGCCTCACAATGGGCTAGCAATAATGTGATTATTGCTTATTAAATATTATTTTCTTTATTCTTAATGTAAATTCTATAGAGACCGATTTCATTATGTGAATTCATCTGCTTTAATTAGTTTATGAGGGTTTTCTTCTAGCATGATCTAAGATTATTCATTTACTTCGAATATTTGACTTTTTTTTGTCAATTTACTCATATAAATACATTTAAAACGTATAAATCATACGTAGTATGCCGTAATTCAAAAAATATATTCTGCACTCGCTGAAGGCTAGGTTTTTTTATAAAAGAAATTTGAGTCAAGTTGCTTAGCATAGTGGACCATAATCCAATTGAAAATGGCCCATACAACTCCAGTTCTAGAGTTTGATGATCCTGTACCAGGTAAAATCCTAATGTAGCCGACTACAAGAAGACATTCGGTATGGTTGTTTGATTATAACAATTCTCATATCGTGTAAGATTGTATGAGGTTGAGCGATATCAAAATACAAAATAATCTCATACTTTTATAAAATGAGTCGCATCAATAACGTGACTGCGCACTTCCACCCAAGTTTTTATCGCCGATTCTTCTACGGCTCTAGACATGAAAGGATAAAGTGACGAAACATGCACAAAGTGACAAAGCAAGAGATGCCGATTGACATAATAAAGTTGATGCAAACAAATATCAACTTGACATGAGAAAAAGGGAGGAGATGCTCCTACCTTAAGAAAACTACAAGCTCATTGTATGTGTGGTTAGAGTTTTGCTATGTATAATTAATTAGTTGTCCAAGTACGGGTGACTTTTAACCATTGATGCAATGATTTCTACTCGTTAATCAATATCGAAAGTCATTGGCATGAATTGAAAGACGTGTGTGTTAAATTTTGTTAAAAACAAGTGGTACACTAACGGATAACTTTTGGTCATTGATTAATAGTGGATACACTTCCACCAAGAAGTAGGAGTCACTTGCCCACGAGTTTGTGACTGTTCCACTCCCTCCTCAGGTGTGAGTTATGGCAGCTAAGAAGTGATGAGGAATCAAATAATAAAAACATACTAGAATGTTGGAGCTCTAATTCTATGTGTTCTTTTATCTTCTTAGGTTCTTGCGAGATTTATTTTTGTAACATACTCTAGTATACTTATACACTCGTGCATACTGGAAGCTTTAAACTTCTTGTTTTTTTTAGTATATCAGGACCATGGACAAAAGCAGGACCATGGACAAAAGCACTATATGCCTACTGGGAGCAGCTGTCTCCACTCAACTTTTTTTGCTATAAAAAAGGTTCTAACTAAAACTATAAATTACCTATATATTCAAAAATAAAGTCTCAATCCAAACACTCAACTTAAAATACCCTCTCACGTTCCATAATTTTCCTACCCTCTCATATTTTTTGAGCCGTGTAATTCTTCCATTAGCTAATTTTTCATATTTTGCCGTTCTAAACACCAACTACCTAAAATCATGTTGTTGGACAATAAGTTAATAGCGTTATTTCAAAATTTAATTTAATTTCATCATTCGAAGTCGCTTCCACCAAGGTTCTTAAAGACTCTAGGCACTAGTCTTGCGGCAAGTTAAGGCCTAGCGCCAAGGCGGATTTAAATAAATTTATTTTATCGTACAAATAAGTGTCTGTTTATACTTAAAACACAATTGCATTTGGATGCATAAATTGCAAAATAGAATGACATATAGGTTATAAAGTATTAGAACATAATAAAAATATGGGGAACAAGCATATAATGTATGTTCATCTAAGTATTCAACAAGTCTATTATTTTGTTCAAAAAAAAAAAACAAGTCTATTACAATTTATTGAAAAAGAAAAATGCAAAATGAAAGTTATCTATTCTCTATCTAAGTTTGAGTTGCGAACGAGACGGGTGCCTAGGTGGGTCTGGGTAGGCGCTTAGTTGGCCTAGATAGGAGCCTAAACAAATCTAGGAGTCTATTCTTAATTTTCAAATATTTAGAGATTAATCGAGGTGGTGGCCAACTGTCTAACGCCTAGGTTGGCCTAAACAGTTTTAGAAGGAAATTTTTAGAACAATGACTTCCACTAAAAAAATATTTCTGGCTCCATCGATGATCAGGACTCATTAACGAATTGTGATTGCTAGTTTGAGCCGCCTAAAAATTGTAAAGTGGCTTTTTGATGATAGAACAAAAGGAGAGTTGCAAATTGCAATGTCTATGCAAATATAGCGACACTTAAAATTAGTATCACTGAGACTTATTACAGTAACCTGTACTTTGGCACATGGGATATCTGGATATGGTTCAAAATTCTAAGATTTATTTACTTATTTTTAGTTTTTGAATCATTGGTTTTTGAACAATGATAAATAGGATGATGAATTTACAATTATTGAAGGGTGGTGAGCAAAAATATTCAGTTTGTTTATTTGAGAGAGCAACTTACTTGTAAACAACGCACTTTTAGGTGAAAATTAGTTGGAGTGTTTTAAATCGAGCAAGACATTCTATTTCTGTTTTCAAGCAATTTGTTTGTTTCAGAAGGGGACTGGCCACCCACCCACTCAACTCATGTACTAGAATTCAAATCCAAAATAAAGTGAGGAGGAAAGTTGGAAAATGGGTAAAAGATGAACATGACATGACTGATTGAGAAGGTTCAAATAACATATATCAACCATTTCACAAAGTATATGAGCTCCTTGCTATGGCTATAATGATCTTTTACCCTTAACATAGTAAGATTATATTTGTTTCTTACAACTAAATCACAATTTGACATGTCGCATATAAACTTTTTTTTGTATTTTTAACAAGTCAATCTAATACATGTGTTAGTCTGCGATTTACAGGTAAGTAAAGAGATTGATTCTTAACTCTAAGGAGACAAGCAATGCTCGCAAAGCTACATATATGAAAGTCAAGTGTTAATTAGCTAGAGAGATAGAAATGGAAAATGAAACTGTTGCCATTTGAGGCATAGTTAGTTGCATCAATTCAAGTTTGGCATAGTGCTATTTATTATAGTATCTTCCTTTTAGGCCTTCATATTTTCTATACACAGGTCTCAAAAACTTCATAAGTTCCTAGTGTGAGTCTGATAAGCATGGCAATTCAACACCCACTTGAGTCAGCTAGTAATGGTTCCTGTGATGATGATGGCCATCCACTAAGAACTGGTAGACTTTTCGTAGTCTAAATTAAGCACTTGATAATTAAGCGTATGCTGGCGATTTTGATACTCATCTTTTAGCCTCATGCACTTGTTATGTAGATGCCACACAAATTGTATAATGTTCAATATGAAGTGCATACGGCTCTAAAAAGGGAGTGCGAAAATCGTTGCCTCGATTTTATACTCTGTCATTTGGTCTTGGACTTACGTAGTTTCTGGTGGGAAACTCATCAATTAACCAGGAACGCTGTGGAGTTGTGTGGCTCATATCATCACTGCTGTGATTGGATCTGGTGTTTTGTCTTTGGCATGGAGTACTGCTCACCTAGGGTGGATTGGAGGCCCCGTTTCGTTGCTTTGTTTTGCAATTGTCACCTACATTTCTTCCTTCCTCGTTTCGGATTGTTACCGGTCTCCTGATCCTATCACCGGAACTCGAAACAAATCTTACATGGATGCTGTGAAAGTGAATCTCAATAGTAAAAACACCGAAAACCTCTCTTTTTTGCACTTTTTGCTCTACGTGATCTTCATTTTAGGATATGTTTCTAATAGATTGGATTCTTTAATGTGGGATTCTGATTTAGTTCAGTGATAGTTCAGGTAGAAAAAAGACCTGGTTTTGTGGTTTACTTCTGTATTTCAGCATGTTTGGAACTGGTATTGCTTATGTGATTACCACTGCGACCAGTATGAGGTACTTAACCAGCTTCCCCATTGAGTCGTGCTTTTCATGTCATTTTCGTTTTGTTTCAGATTCAGGCCCCTGCTATAAGAAATCAATAGTATTATTAAATGAAATTTGAGATCAATCTTCTTATTTTCTAATTCTAACTCTCTTATGTTAATGAATACAATTAACCTAATTCACTCAGATTCTATCAAAATATGCACAAAAATAACCAGTTACTTTTAATCAAAACACTACTGGAGGGATGGTCACTTAACCGTGTTATATATACGACTTACTGTTTTGTCTAGGGTCTCTCAGTTCTTTTTTTTATTAAAAGTTCGTAACGAGTTTTATTTGTGCATATTTACCTACACTATACTAGTATGATGATGCTTACACTTCTTTCCAACTGAAATTAATTTCGTAAAGGCGATATGTATTAACATTTATATTCTATTTTGTCGATTTAGAGCCATTCAGAGATCAAACTGCTACCACAAAGAAGGGCATGAGGCTTCATGTGAATATGGAACTAGTCTGTATATGCTGCTATTTGGACTTGTCCAGATTGTTGCGTCACAAATACCAGATTTCCACAACATGGAATGGCTTTCAGTTATCGCAGCAATCATGTCCTTTGCCTACTCTTTCATTGGACTTGGCCTCGGCTTTGCAAAAGTAATAGGTATTTGCTTCGATTTTTCCAGCTTCTTTTTTCCTACCTTCCAGCCTCATTGTCCAGAATAAGACATAAATAAAAGCTCGGAACTTCGATTTTTAAGATATGTTTGTTAATTGCAGAAAATGGGAAGATTCAAGGAAGCCTAACAGGAGTTCGAACATCAAATGTTGCTGATAAATTATGGTTATCCTTCCAAGCACTTGGAGACATTGCTTTTGCCTATCCATACTCTATTATTGTTCTTGAAGTTCAGGTTGGATTTCTAAACTTTTGAAAGAAGAAAAACGAAGAAATCTGATTAAAACCACACAAAATTCTGATTGATTTTAATTAGAAACTGTTGGATTGTGTTGTATCTGTCAAATCAAAGGATACTTTGAAGTCCCCTCCACCAGAAAATCAGACAATGAAGAAGGCCTCAATGATTGCCATATTTGTCACAACCTTCTTCTACCTCTGCTGCGGATGCTTTGGATACGCCGCCTTTGGCGATGACACCCCAGGGAATCTCTTGACAGGATTCGGATTCTACGAACCCTACTGGCTCATTGATTTTGCCAATGCTTGCATTGTTCTTCATTTGGTGGGAGGATATCAGGTACCGTATATATATGTATCAAATTTTTCAAGTTTGAATCACCATTTTCTATCTGTTGTAGTCACGTATATTTCGAATGTTTCATCTTGCAGGTCTACAGTCAACCAGTATTTGCAGTTGCTGAAAGATGGTCCACGAAGAAATACCCGAGCAGTGGACTTGTGAACAACTTTTACACTATTAAAGTCCCATTGTTACCGAGATTTCAAGTGAATCCCTTCAGGCTGTGTTTCCGAACTGTTTACGTTGTGTCAACTACCGCAATTGCGATGATATTTCCTTACTTCAACCAGGTTTTGGGAGTTTTAGGGGCCTTGAACTTTTGGCCTTTGACCATATATTTTCCTGTAGAAATGTACTTTGTACAGAAGAAAATTGGGGCTTGGACAAAAACATGGGTTGTTCTGAGGACATTTAGTTTAGCTTGCTTTCTTGTGACAGTTGTGGGTGTGATTGGATCAGTTGAAGGACTTATAAGTGCCAAACTGAGCTAGGGAAGTACAAAGAATATTGTAATATCCTCCATAAACAAATGAATATATATATATATATATATAGTCATCCTCATTTACATAATTTATTGCTTCCATTGCAAGCTACAAAAATAATGAGATTGCACTGAGCAAATAAACGACCACAATAATGAAACCTTGTCCCACTAAATGTGATCGGTTATATGAATTCTAGAACACAACTGCCTTAATTATATAGTAGTTCTACCTAACAACCTCAAACTAGATGACGCACATTGCAAAGGTTAGCAACTTCAACGAGTTGATATCGCTTATCGAAATTGAATCCTGTGAAGAAGTAGAAGAAAGATTGTAAAAGCATTTCTTTTCTTGCAGATTTCACCACTTATAAATCATCAGCCTCTTAACTACTTAAAATGTTATGAAGTGCTTGTCTAATGCAAATATATATCCTCATAGGCTAGCTCCTCTGTCTTAAATAAGAGCTAAACACTGCAAACCTAATTGTTCCCTCTTTCTTACCCCAACTGATCAGTTTGACATATTTTCTCTTCCATAAATATGGTAAAAACAAGATAAACCAAAAAAAGTAAATAATTAAAACAAACTTGTGCCCAATTTGTGGTATAATTTTTTTTTCAGAGCTTTTGGGATTTTGGACAAGAATATTATATATAGGAGAATGCTCTCAAATACCAATATTATAGTAGTATGTAATAGATCTTAAAAACGTTAGTGCAGAAAATAAACATATCATATCTATATCATCTCGATGTTGTCCCATTACATAGGTAACAAAGATTCCCCTATAGTCGTAATATATAGAGAAATTATCAATATGTTGTCAATATTGTAGATCTACTGCATTAAATCAGTAATGTTGTTACCATTTCAATATTTGAGAGCATTTCAATATGTGCATTTCACAATATTATAACAAATGGTAAATATGAGGCTTATACAACAACAACAATCAAGCCTTATATACTCTATTTAATGAGATTGGTTGTATGAGTCCTAGTACACTATTGCGTTCTGTTTTGCGCCTAGCGTTTTGTTAACTCCAAGCATTCCATATATTTTCTTATAGTCTCTTTTAAAGTCTTCCTAGGTTTTCTTCTATCCCTTTTGCCCTGAGCTTCTGTCTCATAGTCGCATCTTAACCGAAGCATCTATAGGTGTTCGATTCACATATCCAAACCATCTTAACCTGTGAAATTCAGTTTTCGGATTTCACTGTTATAATCTACGTATTTGTATTATTGAGATTTTATATTATTTTTTCGAGAATTTATATTAGTTTATTTGAAATTAGATTTCAATTAAACTAGTTACGAAGAGTGAAGTTTGGAAAATTATTATTTACTCGTTGACCTTTTGTAACGTTTTCGAATAGGTCTCGAAGCCACGAGCGCATAGGCGAAAGCCGTTTGCGAGTCCGGATTATAACGGTATAGTTACGGACGTTTGAAGTTGTGAAACTATAGATTGTGGGAATTATTTTAATTTCCACTTAGGGGTGAAAAACGCCCAAACACTTTTTGGGATTATAGGACCGGCCAGTTTAAGTGGAAAAGGGGACCAATTAGAAGGAATAAAAGAAAGGAATGACCAATGGGGGAAAGGGGATTTTTTTTTTAGCTCCATTCCCATGAACCCATTTACCCGCGCCAACCCGGAGTGGTTTCCGGCCACTTCCATCATTTTTTCAGGTAAAATTCAACTATCCATCACCTGCAACCTCTTCCACCATCTCCCATCTTCCATTTCCAACCCCAAGTTGAGGGTTTTTAGGTCCAAAACCGTGTAAAAACCGTGCGGGTGACCCATGGAGCTTTGACTGCGATTCCGCAGTTCCGATGAGTTTCACCACCCACCACCACCCTTAGTCAACTCCCCTTGGACCCAAGAACAAGACCCAACAGGTTGTAGAGGTGTTGGGACACCGAGGAAGTCGAATTGAAGAACACCCACCTTAGGGTTTCGGCGGTTCGTGGCAAGCTTGGGATGTTTTCAGGCCAAATTGGCATTGGCCGCAGGTATAAAGTTTACTCTACGTGTTGAGATCTTCATTCTTGTGAAATTTGAGAATTTTTGAAAAAAATCGAATTTTCCGATATGTAGTGGGCCTATATTAGTTTGTTAGCGACTTGACTATATGAGATATGTTTATTATCTTAATTTCTTTTATTGGTACCGATTGTGAATAAGAATTGGTCGTATGAATATGATTTTCTATTGAAATGTGATTTTATATATTTAGCTATAGACCTATGTTTATTAAACATGATTTGGCTTGTGTACTGATGAGGATTGTGATATGTGATTTGACTTGCATATTTGAATGGTGGTTGATGTGCTTAGATGGTATGATATGATAAAATATGGGTGACTTTAATGTATGTGATATTGGTAATTAACCATGTTTTCATAATTATGATCCGGTGTGGATATGAATTGGTTTTATGAATATGTTTCTATTGAATTGTTATTTCCAATACTAAGATATTGATTTAAGTTTATGACATGAGATTTGACATGTATATATTGAAATATGGTTTGATTGGTTTGTTTGGCATGTTGTAATGAAATGTGAGGACTAGTGGTAGACCGTTAACCCGTGGTGATGGGGATTTGTTGCTTCGACTGATTCGTTCTAAATTTAGTATTTGTGCCTTATTTCCCTTGGTTGAACTTTTGTAAATTAAGTAGTTTGTGCTTGTCTCATTTCTTTGAGGCGTTGTATATATGGTTGTTGGCCCTCTGCGATTCCGTTAAGTGATGGTCCGGAATCGTATCCACTCGGATTCCGTTAAGAGATGGTCCGGAATCCCTCTTACTCTGTGATTCCGTTGAGTGATGGTCTGGAATCGTATCCACTCGGATTCCGTTGAGAGATGGTCCGGAATCCCTCCTACTCCCCAATTCCATTGAGTGATGGTCCAGGATCGTATCCACCTTGGGTTTCATTGAGTTTAGATTGAGAGAGCTTCAAAGATGTAGGCTTCGGCCGAATTACGTCCCTCTAGCCCTAGTTTTTAATGTACATACAAACGATGGATTTTGAGAATCTTGTGCTTTGAATTAGAAAAGTCGTTGGATGTCTGGGTGACTCCTTTGAAGTTGTCAGTGACTTGATTATGATTTCATAAAGCATGATTCTATATTTGATGTTTTTAGATTGTGATCGATGACACTAATTTTACATGCGAGAAACCGATTGATAGTTTTGGATTCTATTGAGTGGTCTGGTATCCCTACTCTTGCTCATTTCCATAAGTTAGACTTGTACCTTGGATTCGAGTGAATGGGAATTACCCACAATAAATCTTGTGAATATAAATTAGAATTATCAAGTTATTATCTGAAATCCAGGCAGGGAATTATATAGAAGTCCTATATTAATTATGAGCATTGAGATGTGATCTGATTGACTGATTAACGTAATTAAATGTTAATATCGTGCCTCCTTGATATCATGGAATGGGTTACTTGAGATGATTGTGGAACGATGTTGAATATGATTGTTGATAAAATGATTAGATACGTGATCAATGCGACTAGAGGATACTATTGTGCTTTATTGATTTTTTGATATATTACATGATATGAATAGCGATTTTATGTTGAAACATAATGATTTATATGATGGATGAAATAGAAACCTTGACTGTCTTGCGGGTTGTTATGTAGTTTAAATCGAATAATTCATGCTTGTCAAGTCCAAATGTTTGATTGAGGAATGCTATGTATTTTGGCTTAAATAGACTGTGTCATATGTCGAGTTATAGCAATGGTGAACTACGAATGGCTTGATCCTTATTGAGGGTACATAGGCAGTCTAACGAGGAGGTTAGATACAGCCATAAAGTATATGAAAAAAAATTACTATGAGATTTGATTCTCAAGTTGTGATTTGCCATATCCCGAAGATGGGTATGTTAGATATACGAGTATTTTGTGACATCGTGTATCGATCCAGGACATATGTCGGGATCGGGGCGTGACATAACCGATTTTTTCTCATCTATATATATTCATCAAAACTAAACAAACTATTAATTATGTGGGTTTTTTAATCAATTTACAAGTACGAAGTCATCCATAACCATATATTGCATGATTTAGCAGCAACATTATTGGACAACTCCTGCAGACATGGCCACACAGTTGCAGACAACATGAAGTCTCACACGCTCAACGGCGTTGAATTTTTTAATGAAATCGTGCGCCTTTGATGGGAGTCTTCCAGTAACCCTATTAGGTCATGGCTAATGCACTTGAACCTCTTCATTCATTATATCATATATATAAAGAATATTAGAGAACGGGGAAACCTATAAGAGAAATTTAGAAATTAAAAAAAAAAATTCCCCAAGAAAATGTTTTCGTTTCTTTGTTTTTAGCAAACCAAAATTAAAAAAAAAAAGTTTTAGCTCTTTTAGCTTATTAGTTTACTTCCACTACTTTCTCAAACTCTCAAGCCCTACTCGTCTTTTTTTTATTTTCCAAAAGTTGTTGGCATTTTCATTTAAGAAAACCTTGACGGCGCAAAGAAGATTATTATTGACATTTTTTAAGTTAAGGGGTGAGAGTTCTTAGAAAAATAGATAGAGAAAGAAAGAGAGAGATGGGTCGGATTCCATGCTGTGAGAAGGACACTGTGAAAAGGGGGCAGTGGACTCCTGAAGAAGATAACAAGCTGCAGGCTACGTTGGACAAACTACCTTCGCCCCGTGATGCAGTTCACTTAGAAGCTGCAGAGAATAGGAAGGGAATAACAACACGCAAGCTAATAAAAAGAGAAGCTATAGGATGCTAACTCAATTGAGAAAAAATTATATTCCAACTCCGTTTCCAGCATCCAAATCACAACCTATTTATATAATAAAAGGAACTTAATTAGACTAGTACATGAAATAAATAAGGAAGCTCAATACGTCTTGCCGTTCCCAACGTTATTAACCTCCTTGGTCTTGGAATCTGATGGGTTTAGTAATCATCCCCCTAGGACATTCCTTGAAAATAGTATATCGCACCTCAGATTTTAATTCTCTCAGTCCCTCCAGGTTGAAAATGACTCG